ATTGCAACAGGAGAGAGTGTAGGAAAGAAGAACCTGGCGTGTATCCATACTTTGTAGTTTTGAAATTTAAAACCTGGAAGAGGGATTCTGTTGCCATTTCAGTCTGCAGAGGCTAATAGAATAGTGTCTACAAGAGGCCATGTTGCAAGGGTTCACAGTGAACAATTTAAATCCAACCCTAAATAAATGTTTACCTCAGTATGCTGTTAGTCAAAATGCAAAATCAATATATTTTCATCAAAATGAAACACTTGAGATATTTAAGAGAAAGATCAGGTGTAATTATTGGTTATTTGTCATTCTCAAAAGTAAGTCCCCTTTAAAACAGCTGTACATTTTAACAAATATTTATTTATTTTTTAGAGAGAAGGGAGAAGGGAGTGGGGAGAGAAATAATCAATGCAAGAGAGAAAATCCATCAGTTGCTTCTTTCACACACCCCGACCAGGAACTGACCTCTCAACTTAGGCATGTGCCTTGACCCGAGATCAAACCAGTGACCTTCCCCTTTGCGGGAAGATGCCCAACCACTGTGCCATATCAGTCATGGCACAACTGTGCATTTTAAATACTCAACATTAAAATGAATAAAAATAATTACTTCCCCCAAAAAATGACAAGAAAAGAGAGATTTGTAGTGTGCAGTGTTTTGGTTATTTTGTAAATAGAATTCCATTCAGGACCACAAGCTCTCAGCAGTTCAACTTGGGCCCTGTTGAGTGGCAGTGGGCCTTCAGTCTCGGCCACTTGTCTTTTTTCTCCACGTCAGGTCCTATTCTAAAACTGCATTAAAAGAACATGAAAGAGTCATCATCTCTATTGACTATGAATGCATAAAATTTGTTTTGTGAAAAATATATAACCTACCTAAACAGGTTCATTAAAAAAAAAGAGTTATATAAACACACAGAGTGCCAAGTCTCAATACGAGGACTTTGCCTGAGTCAGACCTACTGATACTCATTACATTACTGAAAAGCCAGAGAGATGATGGAAGGTGTGGAGTCATGCTGTGCTATTTTCACTTTTTCCTTCTAACATAAAGAGATGTTTATATGTGCAAGAAACAGAAATTAGCTATCAGGAAAACACTAGACACATCTATATTCAACACATAGATTAAAAATAAAATCATTGTTTGTGCCCTACAGAACAGGCTTGCTCATTCATCCTTGTGATAGATATGCATGCAAAACCAAATTGAAATCAAATCCCTGCAGACGGCTCATAAGTCACAAAAACTGTTTAATCCTTTCACTGCATCCCTTAGGGAAGCCGGCCCCTTGGTAAGTAATAACATAGCACATATAGAATGTCAACTGCTCTCTTAGTTTTTTTAGTAGAATGCCTTCGTTTTCTCTAATGGGATTTTTCCTCCATATTTCTTGTAAAGAGCTCTCTGTCACTCTGTTACCTTAATATCTACATCTGTAGAATTTTGACATAGTTTTTCTGTTTTTTTAAATGTCAATAGAGTGAAACTATATTTAAAACCTTATGTAAAATTGATGGGCTCAAAGTCCTGTTTTAAAAGGCATCCAGGACTTCTGGCCAAGATGCAGGCATAGATGGAAACACTGTGCCTCCTCACACAACCTAAATGAAGGACAACAAAGATTTAGAAACAAGAACACAACCAGAACAGACAGAAAATTGAACTGCATGGAAGTTTAACAACCATTCATTCAGACTGGTAAGAGGGGCAAAGTTGGCGACCAGCTGAAAGGGGTTGTGGCAGGAAAAAGCGGTGGCTGGAAGACCTGGGTGCGGGGGTCTGCCTCCAGGGAGGAAACAAGCAGACCCAGTGAGGCGTGGAAGGCTGCTGGCTGACCGTGGTCACACATTTGCCTGCAGGTAAACAAAGCAAAACCAGGCAGCAAGACAGACCATGCAACCCAGGGCTCCAGCACCAGAAAATACAACTTAAAAGCACCAATTGAAAACAGTTGTGGGGGCAGATGTTCTGGGAGAGACTCTCAGCTTCACAGGAGAGTTTGTTAGAGAGACCCACAGGATCCTAGAACATACACAAGCCCACCCACCTGGGAATCAGCACCAGAAGGGCACAATTTGCTTGTGGGAAGTGTCAGGAGGGCCTGAAATAGGAGCAGAGCAAGCGCCATTGTTCACTCTGACCCCATATACAGTGTCACAACCCAGCCACTGGGTTGCCTCACCCTGGTGAACACCTAAGGCTTTGCCCCTCATACATAACAGGTATGACCAGACCAAAAAATTATGGCTTAAACACAAGAACAAATCAAAGCCCCAGAGCCAATATTTTAAGCAACCGAGAGAGCCAACCTATCAGATACACAGTTCAAAACACTGCTGATCAGGATGCTCACAGAATTGGTTGATTTGGTTGCAAATTAGATGAGAAAAATGAAGGCTACACTAAGTGAAATGAAGGAAAATGCACAAAGAACCAATAATAATGGAAAAAAACTGGGACTCAAATCAATGTAGTGGACCAGAAGGAAGAAAGAAACAACCAAATAGAAAAGGATGAAGAAACAAGAATTCAAAAAAATGAGGAGAGATTTAGGAACCTTCAGGACATCTTTAAATGTTCCAACATCCGAATTATAGGGGTACCAGAAGGGGAATAGGAACAGCCACAAGTGGAAAACTTATTTAAACAAACAAATAATAAAGGAGAATTTCCCCAATCTGGCAAAGGAAATAGACTTCCAGGAAGCTCAAAGAGTCCCAAAGAAGGTGGACTCAAGGAGGAACACACCAAGGCACATCATCATTACATTAGCCAAGATTAAAATGAAGGAGAGAATCCTAGAAGCAGCAAGAGATGAAGGGACGGTTACCTAAAAAGGAGTTACCATCAGACTGTCAGCTGATTTTTCAAAAGAGACCTTACAGGCAGGAAGGGGCTGGAAAGAAGTATCCCAAGTTATGAAAGGCAAGGATCTACATCCAAGATTACTCTATCCAGCAAAGCTTTCATTTAGAATGGAAGGACAGATAAAGTGCTTCCCAGATAAGGTCAAGTTCAAGGAGTTCATCATCACCAAGTCCTGATTATATGAAAAGTTAAAGGAACTTACCTAAGGAAAAGAAGATAAAAAATAGGAACAGTGAAAGGACAGCAAACTCACAGATATTAACAACCACACCTAAAACAAAAGCAAACTAAGCAGACAGAAATGGAGATCACATGGAGGGTTAGCAACAGAAGAGTGGGAGGAGGAGAAGGGGGGAGAAGGCACAGAAAATAAGTAGCATAGATGGTGGGGAAAAAATAGACAGGGAGGGAAGAGTAGTGTGGGAAACGTAAAAGCTAAAGAACTTATGACACGTGGACATGAACTAACAGGGGGGAATGGGACAACTGTAATGGCATAATCAATAAAATATATTATAAAATTAAATTAAAGAAAAAAATAAAAGGCAGCCAGACAAATCTAAATACCTTTTTACATTGCTCTTCCTGATACATTTTACTGGGAAACAGTTGCATTTCAATCAGGAGTTAAAATGAAAGCAGACCTTGGAGGCATAACCACTGAACAGATGCAGCACACACAGCTTTGGAACGATCACTGTCACTTCAGATCTTTTCCACTGAGTACCTATGGAAGCCAATTGCCAGAGCTGCTGGCATACAGTATTTTTGTTGTTCTGTTAGAGATAGATACTGTAAAAACTCCTAAAACAGAGTAACATGCCTTTTATGAATTTATTTTTATATATTTCATTCTTTCTTGGTTTTCATTCTTTCTCAATTTTTGAAAAGTAAAAATAATGAGAATTTGCCCTGGCTGGTGTAGCTCAGTGGATTGAGTGGGGGCCTGTGAACCAGAGGATCAAGGTTCGATTCCCAGTCAGGGCACATGCCTGGGTTGCAGGCCAGTTCCCAGCAGGGGACACACGAGGGGCAACCATACATTGATATTTCTCTCCCTCTCTCCTTCCCTTCCCCTCTAAAGATAAATAAAATCTAAAATAATAATAATAATAGAATTTATATAAAAAGGTACTTGTCTCTAACACTGTGAAGTTTTTCATTTGTGAGTTGCTAACTTGTCAAGCCAAATCAGAAATTCTTGAGATCTTTATTACATTAAAGCAATTCCTGATATGGACTCTTGAAAAGGACTTAATTTTCTGATTCCGTAAACTGAAAGTTGTATTTTTTTCTGCAATAACATGAGATTAATTTTCTACTTAACTCTGATGGGCTTATTTTATATACAGTATAATCTACCTAAATCTATCAATAGATCTATGTAGCTCTTCTAGCTATCTATATGCTACCGTATTTTTTGGACTATAAGACACACTTTCCTTCCCCACCCACCCCACCAAATTTGGGAAGAATAATGGTTGTTAGTTCTGTTTACATTTATTTACATTGGTAAAAAAAAATATGTTATTTATGTTATTAATTTTTTTACCACATTTTTGCTTCAAGGTTTTTTTTCCTATTTTCCTCCTCTAAAAGCTAGGTGCATTTTATAGTCCAGAAATACAATAACTAGTATAGGATTATATCAGAACACAGATTTGGCTCTGAAAATAGGCAAATATGTATAATATATGGAAGTGATCCTAACTTCTGTGAAAACATAAAATTCAATGTAACATGATATGTATAATGTTGATTTATAATAATCATATTGAATCTCAATATAGCACCAGGCATTACACTAATAATTATATGATTCTTTAATGAATATGATAATACAATATTCACTAACAATGTCTGCCTAGATTGGTATCATTTGTTTTCAAACTGTAAAACTAGTGTCGAAAGCATAATTAACTTTTCAGAAAATCAGTGTATAAACTATTCATAGAATCTTGATCTCTAGTTCTTCAAACCAACATTAAAAATTCCTATCTATGTATCTATCACATTATATTGTATTTGGATACATTGCAAGACTTTTAAGAGTAGAAATATTAAATCATAAAATTTATCTATTTGACAATCTGAAATATTTACAATTCTAAACTATGTGTATTGTTTCCCTTTTTAGAAAATAAAAAGAATCTGAGAGAAAACAGAAACCAAAATACCCCAGAATTTCTAACAGAACAGTAAGTACTTTAATGACATAATAATTATACTAGAGCTTCTATACAATTAAAAGAGCTTATGAAATTCTTTTACAGAAAAATTCACCTTTCTATTTTCTAAGAAAAGAAATTAACATACTAAGCCATGGAGCCTTCTACACCTCATTTCAATTTCCTGGAATAAACTGAAAGTCACTTTTTCTATAATCTTCTTAGACGAGAGGCTAAGGTAACCCTTGTGATACATCTACGTGGCAGAAAACATTTGCATTGATTCCATCCTGTCTTTTGACTAGCATCACAGCGTCTTAAGTTCTAAAGAAGAAAAAAAATAAATAAAATTTAACCTGACATTTTCTATATGTGGTACAAAATTAATTCATGTTGAACAAACTTTCAAACAGAATCAGTATGCTTGTAATGTTTACTGGCATGAACCAAGACTTATAAAACAAAGGCAACTAGCTACAGGCTTAGCACTCACAGCATCAACTCATCGGTACATTTCTCTTTCATCTTCTCACAGCTAACTTGGACATCTTTTCTAACATAGTTATTATTTGATAGTAAGAATTATTTCCCTAAGTATGTTTTTACTGAACAAAATTAAATGCATTCTTGGTATCATTTTTATGATAAAATTGGGAATAATGATTTCCTCAATGTAAACATTATATATGTTGAATATATGAATATCAAAATAACTTTTGAAAAGGTAGAAAAGCAAAATCCACATTGATGACCCATTATATATCACATTTAATGCCATGGTCATTTTGAAATGAGTTTGCAAATGCAATTCTCCAAAATTTAAAACAAACATTAATGTAAACTGTAGTGAATTAACAAAATGATATATGTAAATGGAAAGGATTGGGATATACACAATTCATAATTATTTTTCTAGAATATGTACACATGGCACATAATACAATTTTCTAGCTTCTGAAAAACTTTAATGTATAAATTGTAGTTTAAGTAATTAAACATAATTAATCAAGGTTTTAATGTCACAATTTTATTTCAATAATTAAACATGGTTAATTGAGGTTATGAGGATATAAACTTAATTCACCTTACATCTACTGTTTCTCCATTTGAGAGGAGCAGTGTGAGAAGGCTGCTTCTTCACTTCCCTGTGGAAGGAGTGATCATGTCCAGCTTCCTGTTACACAAAGCACTCCACCTCACTCTGTGCTGTGGCTGTGATGGCCACACACTTTACAACTTCGCATCCAAGATTTATGAGATCCAAAATTTTCAAAAGCTCTCCCTTCACTTGAAAAGTAAACTTCAAGTATGTGAAATGCTGTTTTGATGTGACAGAGCAGGTTATGAAATGAGTTTACAGAGTTCTGAGTATAAGAAAGGTAACTTAAGAATCAGATTTTTTCCATCACAAAAAGATCCTCTGCCAATTGAAATAAATTGCAAAATATGAAATAAATGAGCAATATTTTAGTGACCAGAGATAGTCAAGTAAGTCATTCCAGCAAAACATAAACATTTCTCAACACCTAGCAATCGTCTCACAAGAAAACAAGACTCTCTGAAGTTGTGTTTTTCTATATATAATTCCACATTTAAACATAATTTCAATTCTGTACATTACTTATAAAAAGGTTAAATTTTTTTAATGAGAGACTATTCAACTCTTTATACAAGAGCCAAATAATACCTATACTACCACCTCACAATTCCTTAGTATCTTATTTATTTCACTGTGACAAGCCATCAGTGGCTATTTTTCTGATCTCATTTATCTTAAGTCATTTGGTCTATTATTCAGATATGACATATAAGTTATGTGATTTGAATTGTAATTTTTATAATTGTATAGGAATTTGACTTAGTATGACAAACTTTGGAGGGAACTGATTCTAGTAATAAGATCTGCTCCTTATTATAATAGTAGAGAAAATAATGTGCGTGTTTTCCATTAAGAAATCATGGCTTTTCTTGGTACATTTGTGATTAGGGTAGTTTTTCCTTTCAGACTTTGTCTTTCATTTAACAACTACATACTAAATCACAAATAACTGTAAGGTAAAATGACTCCTAATTCAAGTCCAAATAATCAAGAGTATAATTTATTCTTTAACATTTTTATAAAATGTTTATGAATGGAAATACTCTGAATTAAAATGATACTGTCAACATATGTATTATTAGATATGTCTTGACCACCAAAAAGTTCATAAGTTAGAGGTGTCAGTACACGGAATAAAGCATAATATAAGGTGAGCACATTGGGTAATATAGTGACTATTTTTCTTGTCCTTATCAATAGAAAATGTTCCTGTGTTGTATGCCCATAAATAATGAGTTTTTACTATTTGTAGTTGAATCAAACTTATAAATAAAAGATTTTTAATATAAAAAGCCAGACAAAAAGCTATAATTTTCCCTCAAGGCCCATAGCTTATAAATGATTGGGTAATTGATTAAAATATTACTAAAGATCTTTAACACACATTGAACTTATTTCACAAAAAGTTTTGTGCTTAAAAAGGTAAGAAAAGATAAGAAAAAGAACCATACAGAATTGTATTTTAACAAATTTTCTTTCAATTGCTTTTCACTCAGTGGAACTTTCAAGAACTTCATGGGTTGTTTCTCTATAGACTCTGAATACAATAGGTAATAATTACAAAGAGGGTGCATTAAAAAAACATTCAGAAGCTCAGTAGTCCTTCTTGGAAACTATTCATATTATCCCAGATTTACTAAACTTCTTTAAATACTGATGAAGGTCAATGTTCTCACTCAAAGCATGATTAGTATTAACAATCTTGCTTTCCTGGCACACCAAATAGAACAAGAAGTATTCAGTAAGAAAGGTCCTAATGAAAAGCAGATTTTAACTAAGAAAGTATTGAGTGGTTCATTAGGAAATAAATAGTTTTCAAATGCCCATCAGAAGTTTAATTTAGGAACTATAACTTCTGGCCAAGATGGAGGCATAGGTAGATACACTTTACCTCCTCGCACAATGAAAAGAAGGACAACAACAAATTTAAAAACAAAAAGTAACCAAAACTACCAGAAATTTGAACTGTATCGAAGTCTGACAACCAAAGAATCATAGAAGAAACATTCATCCAAACATTCATCCAAACAGGTAGAAGGGATGGAAACAGACAGCCAGGGTGGACAGGACTCAAGGCAAGGCAGTGGTTGGAGGATGGGGTGGTTCCACATTTGCATACAGATAAACCAGGAGGGACAATTGAAAACACACAGACTGCGCAACCCAGGGTTCCAGCACAGGGAAATAAAGCCTCAAAATCTCTGACAGAAAAAAATCTGTGGGGGTTGAGGCAGCAGGAGGAACTCCCAGCCTCACAGGGAAGTTTGTTGGAGAGACCCACAGAGTCCTAGAACATACACAAAACCACCCACCCTGGAATCATCACCAGAAGGGCCCAATTTGCTTCTGCATAGTGGAGGAAGTGACTGAAAGCCATCCGAAAGCTGAGCAAGAGGCTTTGTTCCCTTTCAGACCTGTCCCCCACATATAGCACCACAAAGTAGTGACGTTGGTTGCCCTGCCCTGGTGAATCCCTAATGCTCTGCCCCTTACTACATAACAGGCACACTGAGACAAAAAAATATATATGTCCCAAATGAAAAGACAGATCAAAGCTCCAGAAAAAAATGCAACTAAACAATGAAGAGATAGCCAACCTACCAGATGCAGAATTCAAAATAGTGGTAACTGGATGCTCACAGAAATAGTTGAATATGGTTATAAAATAGATGAAAAGGTGAAGCATATGAAAAGTGAAGTAAAGGAAAATGTACAGAGAACCAAGAATGAATGGAAGGAAACCAGGACTCAGATCAAGCAGTTTGGAGCAGAAGGGAAAAATAAACACTAAACCAGAAGTGAATGAAGAAATAAGAATTCGAAAAAATGAGGAGAGGCTTAGGAACCTCTGAGACAGCTTTAAATGTTCCGACATCCAAATCATAGGAGTGCCAGAAGGAGAAGAGGAAGAGCAAGAAATTGAAAACTCATTTGAAAAAATAATGGAGAACTTCCCCACTCTGGCAAAGAAAATAGACTTCCAGGAAGTCCAGGAAGCTCACAGAGTCCCCAAGAAGTTGGACCCAAGGAAGCACACACCAAGGCACATCAAAATTACACTACCCAAGTTTAAAGATAAGGAATCTTAAAAGCAGCAAGAGAAAAGGAGACAATTTCCTACAAAGGAGTTCCCATAAGACTAGCAACTGATTCCTCAAAAGAGACCTTGCAGGCAAGAAGAGGCTAGAAAGAAGTATTCCAAGTCATGAAAAGCAAGGACCTGCATCCAAGATTACTCCATCCAGCAAAGCTCTCATTTTAGAATGGAAGGGCAGATAAAGTGCTTCCCAGACAAGGTCAAGTTAAATGAGTTCATCATCATGAAGCCCTTATTTTATGAAATGTTAAAGGGACTTATCTAAGAAAATGATCACAAATACAAACAGTACAATGACAACAAACTCACAACTATCAACAACCGAACCTAAAAAAATTAAAACAAACTAAGCAAACAACTAGAACAGGAGGAACAGATTCACAGAAATAGAGATCACCTGGAGGGTTACCAGCAGGGAGGGGGTGGGGGAAAAGGTACAAGGAATAACAAATACAAATGGTAGGTGCAAAATAGACAGGGAAGTTTAAGAATAGTATAGGAAATGGAGAAGCCAAAGAACTTATATCTATGACCCATGGACATGAACTAAGGTGGGGGAAGGATGGTGGGAGGGGTGTAGAGGATGGAGAGAAAAAAATGAGACTACTGTAATAGTATAATCAATAAAATACATTTAAAAACAGAACTGTAAAAACAAGAAGTTTGATTTAATCAGTAAGTCTTTGTAATTAAAATGTAAGTGTGTGTATGTGCAGTAGTTGCACACAGCTAGGAAAAATTTAGCTGTCTTGTCTAATAGTCTCATTTTACAGACATTACTTCCTTTAATATCCTTTTTCATAGAGGGACACATAAGTTATTTCTTCCAGCTCA